AATATCAGAAGCGATACTCTCCAGCTCAGCTCTCCTATCTATCTTCCTATTCACTGTTAACACGGGGGATTCAGAAAAGGCAAACAACTGAAGCTGAAATTATCAAATCCTGTGACCTTACAATTCAACTACAAGGGCATCAGCCTGAAGCACTGAGCAGCTCCAGCATGCATCTATTACGTGGAGTCCATTTACCCAAACGTGTACACTGTCAGAAGTTGTTTGGCTATAGGAACCCTCTGAAAAAAGGAGACTGTGGAAGCAAATTTTCTAATGAAGTGGACAATCACAGCAAAAGAATCTCTTAGGAAAAAGTTCAAGGAATACAAGGCAGTAGCTAAGCACAGCTGTTCAGGATGGGTTGCAAACATTATGAGTGGCATGAAAGATTGTGCTAAAATACCTGGTACTTTTGTACACAAGCTATGCAATTCCCATTTTAGGCACAGGAAGCTACAGAACAGACAGGCTAAGCGACTTGCCCAAGCCAACAAAAGAAATCTGCGGAGCACAAACTTGAACCCAAATCTCCCAAGTCCCAGACAAATGCCCCAACCACCCCATAGCACCATCCCTTTTCTGTCAATTGCTGAGGGACAAGAGGATGAACTGTTGATCAGGGATGATATTAGTGAAGACTTGAAAAGATCAGTCAGGTCAGAAAAGTATACACAGCCTTGAAGACCAAGACAACAACCTTGAATTTTATGGAAAGTGTGTGACCAAGAAAATGGATTGTGATTGTGATTGTGTCAAACAAGGAAGATGATTTTAAAATGACTCTGAATAAGCTACACTAGGGCAATGTTATGGAGGCCAAGGTGGAGGAATAAGAAATTACAAGACTCACTGTCACATCTCAATAGGTACCTTCTTTCTTTTCTGTACTGATGGTAAAAAGGTATTTTTTTATCTTCTGTGCCCACCCTGGTTTTGTTCACATAAGCATGTTTAAACTACTCCAATTCTGTGAAAAAGTAATTGCTCCAAAGTTTTAAGTACATACATCTAAAATGGTAAAAATCTTCAAAAACTCCTAAGAATAGGGTCTGGAAGCACTTGTTGATAATCTACTGGAATAAGTGTAATGTTTTCAGGAACCAATCAGAGAACAGCAGCTAGTAAAGAAAAATACAAGGCTAGTGCAGAGGTA